GCATCTCACCCACAAGTTTCTCTATCTCCTCCTTCTGGATGTGAGGATATCAATAAGGCCATATGTTGGGAGGGAGAGCCCCCTTGTGTAGAGCGATGTGGTGCTCTCGTGCCCGACATGGTGGCAGTCCCCCGGTAACTAAAATACCTCATTAAAACGGCTCAAAGTTCCTTCCAGCTCTCGTGGTATCGTCTCAGCTTGGGAATTTGGGACCTCGTTGGTTGCCAAACTGATTTCTAATAATACCACGACTTGCTCCAAACCCAAGGATCGGGAAATGGCTCGGAAACTGACTCTTGAGCAGCAAAGCGTAGGATCCCCTTGCAGACACACCCAACACCCATTAACCAAGATTTTAAGGGTAAACTGGGTCCAATCGGCTCGAACTTCCCCCAACGCCTTGAGCCAAGTTACACCGAGTACTAAATCCACGTTCCCCAACTCAAAGGGAAAGAAATTTTTCCTCACCTAATGCCCTTGAATCATCACCAGTACCTTGCGACAAACTCCCTTATGTTGGAACATCATCCCGTTTCCAACTTGGATCTTATGGCTGACCGATAGATCCATGGGTATTCCCATCTCCTTAACCAAGGTGGAGGAGATGAAGCTATGTGTTGCGCCGCTGTCAATGAGGATGACGACCTCCCTTCCATCGATAGAGCCCTTCACCTTCAAAGTCTTGGCCGACGAACAACCGTTGAGGGAATTAGGGGATAGAGCTGCAATTTCGGCGGCCGTTTGAACCACGGGTTCATGCTCCTCCGTTCCCTGGCCGGACTCCTCCTCGCACTCTCGGTCTGATTCCTCGTCTGTGATCATCAACACCTACAATGTTCGACTCTTACAAGAGTGGCCGGAACTGAATTTTTCGTCGCACCTAAAGCACAACCCTCTCGCTTTCCGCTGCTGCATCTCCTCGAAGGATAGGCACCGAAACCCAAATTCTCCGCCAGAGTGGGTTTTCCCAGTCGGTGCTGTGATTCCCCTGGAGGGTGTGTTTGGCTCGTGACTCAGTTCGGATTGAAGGGAGCTATCTTTTGGTTTAGCAGCTGGGTATGGGTTGTAAGTGTTGGAGCTGAACCGACCCATATACTCGCCCCTGGAGCCCCACCCAGCCTTAAAATCTTCTGACCCGAACCACCGCTTCCAAGCGGTCCTCCACTTGTTGGGCCAGATCCATGGCTTCCAGCGGGTTCATAGGCCTGTGCATCCTTACTTCGGCCCTGATGTCTTCTCGAAGCCCATTTAGGAAGGCCCCCTTGAAGATCGGTTCTGGCACCCCCCTCATGGATGCCGCAAGAGACTCAAACATATCGCGATAGTCGGCCACTCCTCCGATCTGCTTGAGTGACATCAGTCTCTCCGTCGGTTCGCGGGCACGGCTGAAGCGCTGGATGACGGCCGTCCGAAGATCCCGCCAACTGGTAAAAGGGTCCTGCGTATCCACCCATTGAAACCACCCTAGGGCTCTTCCCTCCATACATACCGAAGCTACCAAAATCCGCTCCTCATCCTCGATCGCATTCACGGCGAAATATCGCTCAGCTCGGAACACCCAACCATATGGATCCTCGCCCTGAAAGATAGGGAGCTCCAGTTTCTTCCCACGGAATTCCCCACACACCCGCTGCCAGACCGGCAATGGTCGACGGTGAACTTCATCCCCTTCCCTCCTTGGAACCGGAGATTCCTCACGGTTAACCACTCAGCCTCTCTCTGGTTCGCGTCTCGGTGGAGTTCGATCGAGATTTCTGACTGGCTCTCTCCTCGGTTGGCCTCTGCCGACGATCCTCGCCTGTCTCTGTAACAACTCTTATATCCTCAGCATCGACCCTTGAAGCTCCCCCTCTATTATCCAACCGATCGACGTTCTCTTGCAATTGTGGAACGCGATCAACCATAGCTCCCATTATCTGCACGCCTTCGTGGATGTCTTCCATTCGGTGTTCCAGTGTTGCGATACGTTCAGAAACGCGCGGTTCAGGTGGAACGTTGTCCATGGGACCGGTGGCTCTGATACCAAGCTAATATAACCCCAGGAATTCTGGGTAAATCTTTATTTTTTTTTAATCAACTGAAGGGAAAATTGAACGGAAATACAGATAGGAGGAATTCGAGGTTCCTCTGCCTCACTAGTTCTACACTGCAATGACCACAATTTTCATACCCCACTCCCTTGCATCTCTCCCTTTTAATATTCCCTCGATAACCGAAGGCATAACTAATTCACACCCTCCCAGACCTTAACGTGACCTCATAACATAATTGAAACAAGATTGACATGTCAGCAGGAAGAATATCAGTTTTGGGCCATGTCCTTGCCTGACACTTCCTTTGAGGTACCTAAACCCAATATTTCCAGTGAACCACCATTGGAGCCGAGTGGACCACCATCAGAGCCGAGTCAAATTCAAGGAGACAAGGAGTCCAGGGGCAAGGAACTTCAAGTTTACTCAAGGCGTCAGAAGAACCCTAAACCAGTGGACCGACATCCTGAGCTTCCTCCTGCGCCTTGTCAAACTGATGTCCTGAGACCAAATCCCACCAAAGTCATCCAAGGTAACATAGATTCTTCCCCCACTACAGATAACACATATTATATGGATGATCTCAACAGGCCTATTGCCCACAGAAAGGGGGTAAGATCTTGTACTCAGCATCCTATCTCAAAATTTGTGTCCTATGAGAAGCTGTCTCCCAATCTTCGAGCTCTCATCACAAATCTGGAGAATGTTGCTATCCTGAATTGCATACAAGAGGCCTTACAGCATCCTGATTGGAGAAAGGTAGTAAATGAAGAAATCCAAGCACTGCAGAAGAATGGCACATGGGAGATTACTAAATTACCGTCCTGTGAGTTGTAAGTGGGTCTTTAATGTCAAAAACAAGGCAGATGGAAGTATAGACCGGTACAAAGTAAGGCTGGTGGCAAAAGGATTTACACAGACCTGTGGGATTGACTATCAGGAAACTTTTGCACCAGTCACGAAGTTGAACACAATCCATGTCTTACTATCCTTGGCGGTCAACCTTGATTGGGGCTTGCATCAACTAGACGTCAAAAATGCATTCCTCAATGGTGATCTTGAAGAAGAAGTCTACATGGAAATTCCTCCATGTCTAAAACACTCCAGTAGCAACAATCTAGTATGCATACTTCAGAAATCACTCTATGGGCTTAAGCAGTCCCCAAGAGCGTGGTTCGAGAGGTTTACTAAGGTCATTAAAAGAAAGGAATATTCACAAGGACAGTTTGATCACACTCTTTTCATTAAGAGACTTCCTGGTGGTAAGATCACAATTCTCAGTCTACGTTGATGATATAATTGTTACAGGGAATGATGAAGAGGAAATATCCCGACTTAAAACAGTTCTACGTAGAGAATTTGAGATTAAAGATCTAGGAGCTTTGAGATATTTTCTTGGAATGGAGGTAGCAAGGTCAAGCAAGGGTATTTCAGTTTCGCAACGAAAGTACACCCTTAACTTGTTAAAGGAAACAAAAATGCTTGGATGCAAACCCTCCGATACTCCTATGGATCCATTCAACAAGATAGGCTCAAAAGAAGACTCGGCTGCTATCGACAAGGGAAGATATCAAAGACTAGTCAGGAGGTTGATCTACTTATCTCACACGAGACCTGACATCAACTTTGCAGTGAGTATGGTTAGCCAGTTTAAGAACAACCATACAGAAGAGCATCAAGAAGCTGTGTATAGGATACTACATTACTTAAAAATGACTCCAGGCAAAGGATTATTTTTCAAAAAAGGAGATAGTTGAGATTGGAGATTTTCTCAAATGCAGACTGGGCTGGGTCCTTAACAGATAAGAGGTCTACTTCGGGTTACTGTACTTATGTCAAGGGCAATCTAGTCACTTGGAGGAGTAAGAAGCAATCGGTTGTGGCACGTAGTAGTGTAGAAGCTAAATTTCGTGCCATGGCCCATGATATTTGTGAAGGGATGTGGTTAGAAAGGTTGCTTGAGGAACTCCAGTTCTCTCCTAATACACCTATGAAGTTGATGTGTGACAATCAAGCAGCAATCAGTATTGCTAAGAATCCAGTTCATCACGATTGAACCAAACATGTAGAGATCGATCACCACTTCATCAAAGAAAAGATAGAGCAAGAGGTCATAGAAGTGGATTACACTCCTACACGGCAACAGACTGCAGATATAATGACAAAGGCTATTCCTAGAGCTCAGTTTGACATACTACTCTCCAAGTTGGGAATGATTAATATTCATTGCCCAGCTTGAGGGAGAGTGTGAAATTTTGAAGATGATAGGCTGTAAATAGGAGATTTGCTAGGCTGTAAATAGCTGTAGATTAATTTCTATAGATAGCTGTTAGTTTCCTTTTATGTAGGATTTGACAGATTGAATCAAGGAATTACCAGGCTGTTGGTAATCTCCTCTTCCTATAAATGTATATTGCAGCATAATGAATAATATAGAAGAAATTTCTCTCTGATTTTCTTCAACCATCAATAGCAATCAAATGTCATCCATATGCTATATGTGTAGGTAAATTTAGCACAAATAATAGCAATCAAGAGTGATTTTCCTACTCAAATGCTAAAATTCAGCATTGAAACACTAATTTAACATTGCGTAGGAGATGCTCTAACAACATAGATGCTACTGGTCCATCTTTTAAGCCACATAAGAAAGTCATCTTCTTTAAATGGGCAGGCTATTACAAACTGACACTTGCAATGCCCATAACAAAAAGGTATTCAAAAAACTACTATAATGTCAAATATGAAGAAATTAGTCTCCAATTTGAAATCCCAACAAATAGCTAAATCAAGCAAGAAAATTTTAGCTTTACTTCTTGGCAAGTAGAAATTCAATACAGTGGAATACAAAACCTCCACTAACTTATTAAAACATCCATTCGTTCGTCAAAGACCACCAATTACGATCGAATAAGTAATCAAACATAAAGATAATATGTATTAAAAAAAAAAAGATAAAGAGAAACTCACAACAGCAGTGGCATCATGTAGAACTGGAGTAATTGTCCACTCACCCTTGTCCTGAACCAAAACCAACGCAACAACAAAAACGACGACAAACCCATATCAATTCTAACGACGAAAAACATCCTCAAATTCACAGAGGCAATTCATCGAACAGTTCATGAGCATGAATTGGAAAGGGGGGAAAAAAACATCATTGTATAGGGAGAAAATATGATGGTTGGGGTTGTCGTACCGAGTTGGGGTCGAGTGTTGAGAGACAACGAGGACATCGGGGGCAACCAAGGCCGGGATTTATGGTGGGATCGTGGTGGAGATTTCCTCTTTTTAGCTTCTCCTCGTACACTTCTCTCGTCCCCATTATTTGTCTTCTCGATTCGATAGGCTCTTCTGCCGAACGCAAACGCCACTCAAAAGATTTGCAATTCGCGACCTCGTTTCTCCATAACCTTTGCTTTACCGGAGTTTTGTATTTTAAGGAGGCTTTTTTGCATAGGACCTCCTTAACTTTTGGCGATTAACAAATTGATCCCCAATTGTTTTTTATTTTTGCAATTAGCTCCTCAACGTTTGAAATTCCAATTGAAGTCCAATTAAAAACGACCGTTTAATGTTATACGGATTTAATCACGCGACTTTACTTGGGGGCATTAGATGGTCATTTCCTAGAAGAAAGAAACACCACCAACCAACCCCTTTCTCTCTGTAACTTTCTCTCTCTCTGTGCAACACCACCAACCCCTTTCTCTCTGTAACTTTCTCTCTCCTCCCCAAACGCCGTCCTCCAGTCGCACGACCGCATCATGGGCCTCGATCTCCCCTCCGGCGGCCACGGCTACTATACCTCCGGCGGGAAGAAGTTCTCGGCGACTTCCATTTACTTTGAGAGCTTACTGTACAAGGTCAATTCGACGACTGGGTATATTGAATTATAATTTGAATTATGGCTGATCACGATGTGAATTATAATTTGTGATTTTTTTTTGGGTTGTTATTGGTATATTCGGATCTGTGTGTTGTTTAGGTTGTAGATTGTGAATTTGGTGACTGTTGGTGGATGTGTGATTTCCAATGTTGTATGTAGTTATATATAGGATTTGTTTTGTTTTAAAATTGTTGGATATGGTCGGCTGGAGAATTTGTTTTCATTTTGTTTTAATTGGAGGGTGCTTTGTTAGATTCTTAGTGTCGGATCAAGATTAGTTGATCAATGAGAGAGAGAGAGAGAGAGAGAGAACCCAGAAGTTTCTGGGTTTTTCATTTATCAAGTTTGTTTCCCTTTTTTTTTTTATTGATGAATCTGGGTGTGTTTTTGTTTGCTACTTGAAGAAATGCATATGCCCAACAAACGACCATGTTCATCAGAAAGAGAGAGAGAGTTCTGGTTTTTTTTTTCTTTTTTTTTTCTGTTCTTTTCTGGAAAAGTGTTCGTTTCTTCTAAGAAATGACCATCTAATGCCCCTAAGTAAAGTCACATGATTAAATCCGTACAACGTTTAATGGCAGATCTTAATTAGACCTCAATTGCAAAGAATTTCGAAGGTTAAGGAACTTATTGAAAAAAAAAATTAAGAACCAATCTGGCAATCGTTGAAAAATTAAAGGGGGTTTAATGTAAGAAAAGCTTTTTAAGGAACTAAACTATGTTTATATCCCATTTTGTCCATAACTTTTAAGGGATTGTTCTTTTATATTTTTAAGTTACGGTGACTTGAGTGATCATCTTGAGTTGAGTTTGAGTTATAATTTGAGTTGAAGTTGTAACTTGAGTTTATGTTTAGATGTATGTATTTGAGTTATGATTTGAATTGAATCTTTTTGAGTTTGTGTTTAGGTAGTTCAAAACTTAGGGGTTGTTCTTTTGTAACAAAACTCAGAAAAAGTTTAAACTCAAATTACAACTTTATTCAAGTTCACGTTCTTTTAAATTCCAACTTTATTCAACTTTACTTAACTTTATTCAAATCACAACTTTAACTCAAGTTATAACTCAAATTCAACTCAAAAATTACACTCAAGTTACACTCTAAAAGAACAACCCTTTAAATTTGCATTTAGATAGTATTTTAATAAAAACTCAATAGTGATGAAAAAAATTAATAGGGTATATGGGTGGGGTTTTATTCCTCTTTTCGTTGTGAATGCATAGAAAAAAAATCATCTTCATCAGAATTAAAATTATGGGTGGGGTTTTATTCCTCTTTTCGTTGTGAATGCATAGAAAAAAAAATCATCTTCATCAGAATTAAAATGAAAAAGTTATGGCATTTTTAAGAATATAAAAAATATTGTTCATTAACTTGAGTTCGAATTTATGAACTCGAGTTTAGCCTTAAATTCGAGTTCAAACTCAAATTTTACAAAAGAATATGAACTTGAATAAAGTTATAACTCGAGTTCAAACTTTTTTTAATTTTTGTTGTAAAAAAACAACCCCTAAAATGTTTCAGAATGGGTCCCTAAACTTAGGTTGTCTGACACTCAATTCTTAAAATCTCAATGTAAAAATGACACGATTTTTTTCTTAATAGTCGTGGCCTAAGATATCAAATTATAAAATTAACCTCTATTAAATTGTACATTATTGTCTTCTGAATATTTCATGTTGTGGATTAATTTAGAACAATTTTATAGATTATGGACATGATATAGAACGTCTTGAAAGTCAATGATTAAAATGAGATTTTTCTGATAGTTCGAGGTACTAAAAATAAGATTAGCCCTTATTTCTTTCACAAGTATTGTTTTCTTAATATTATAGTTTAAAATTTAAAAATAGACAGGGATAATAAATGTAAATAATTTATTGCATTTTTAGTGCTGAGTTACGAGACAAAGGGGGGGACTTCAATATGTAAACTTAACAAATCTCTATATAGTTTAAAACAAGCATCAAGAAAAATAGTTTGTTAAGACTTTCAGCCCTAGGTGATGCTCGCTAGAGACAATTAGAATATACATGTTCTTTTCATAACTTATGTTGAGAATTTGAGTTTAATTAGAAAATAAATTTTATGTGAGAAAAAATACTGTAATAAAAAAGTTGAGTTGAAAATTTTGTGAGAAAAAATACTATAACAAAAAAAATTTAAATTGTGATTTAAGTTGTAAAAAGAACATGCTTGTTCATCCAAACAGAGGAAGACAACTTCACAGTTGTCTTGGTTGTATGCGGATGATGTCATAGTGATAGGAAATGATTTGAAGAAAATTCAATAGCTTAAAAGTTTTCTAATGTAATATATTGAGCCAGCCGTAGGAAAGAATCAAAAAAACAAGAATAAGAGAGAGTGAGTCAGTTGAAATTTCGGGACCGTTTTCCAAGAGCATTGTTGGATTTTCGTTCCTGAAAATTGGTTAGGGGCTCGTATTGTTGTGGGCTTTTCGATGTTGTTACTGTGTTTGACAGGGTGGTTTCATTACGGCAAATCTGATTTCATTTAGAGGATAGTATATGGACAGCTTGGAGGTGATTTTCGGCGCATTTGTCGTCTGGT